TTGAGGGCATTTAAGGGTAGAAATGTATTCCTATTATAATCTGGAGTAGGCATATCAAGATTATATTAAACCCATTCCATTATGTCACTATTTTCTGAATGCATATATCGATGTGGGACTACATGCCTGCAGGACGATCCTGCCAGCTGCACACAGATTATTTTTAGGAGCAATGGAAACTTATTTTCTGCTTAGCACAGAATTTCCCCCAAGAACTTTGTAAAACATGAAATTATGCATGATTTAGCCAGAAATGCAGGTTCACATGCAAGTGCTATTCATAGGAAGCCATGCCTTTAAAACACAGCATACCAAATGGTTCTGCAATTTCAGGGAGCAAAATACTTGAACATCCAAGATCCACATTTAACAGAAGGGCCCAAACTTGCACTGATTTCTACCCCACTAGCTTCAAAGGGACCGTGTCGCTGACTGCTACAGAAAAGTCAGGGTGACTTTCCAAATTGCCAGGCCACAGTGGCAGGTGGTTCCATAAGGGGAGGGCCACCACATTCTCCTCGGAGTTGGGACCTGGAGGAAGTCCCCAGAGGTTGAGTATGATGTCTGAGTAGCTTGCAATTGGAAGAGGCACTCCGGCAGATATTGCAATCCTCAATATAAGGTGTAAGGCTTTATAGGTTAAAGCCAGCACCTTGAAGTGGGGCTGGAAGCATAAAGGCAGACAATGCAAGTAGGCCAGTACCAGTCTTATTATGTAACCTGTGGGTCCTAATTATAAATCTGGCTGCCACCTTCAGCACCAGCTGCAACTTCTGAATTGTCTTCAAGGGCAGCCCCACATAAAATGCATTGCAATAATCGAGATTCCTAGAGTGCAGATTACTGAAGCCAGGCTAACCCTGTCCAGATAGTGGCACAGCTAGGCCAGTAGCCAAATCTGGTTGAAGGTACTCTGAGCCACTGAGGTCACCGGAGCCTCAGAGATGGATCAAAGGAGGGTATCCAAGCTGTGAACCTGCTGCTTCAGGGGAAATGAGTAGGGCGGCTGCAGGGATTGGTGGCACCTCCCTGTAGCTCTCCCCAGAGTGGCACATATGATACCTGTTTTGTGGGGTTTCGGGTACCAAGTGAAGATCCGTGTTGTGTAAGTATTAATTCTGTTTCTACATCAACCAGTATCTGCAACTGTATTTTCCTCAGCTTTTAAAGCCTTCTAATGGTGCAATCCAATCCATGGTCAGATAGAGAAAAAAGCATCCTGGAAGCTGTGGGCTCCTTTTCTGCCTAAATTTCTGCATAAAATTGTACCTTAATCTTACAAAAGCCTTGGTGGCCACAGATGGATATTGAGCTGGGAGATGTTTGGTGCTCCTGGATTTGCTGTATGGATTTGATCATATGTTGCTGCTTTTACACTGTGAGTCTTTACGGTTTTATGATCCTGTTTGCATATTTTCTGCTTTGGACTTTTATTGTAAGCCACTAAGAAATATTTTTGTTATTAGGTGGCCTAAAGAGAAATAAAGTATATAAAAATATTTTCCTTTTGGGAAAAATGGACTGAAGGCACACTATTGAACAGCCTGTAGACAGGAAAAGGAATTTCTGCCTTTCTCCAAGTTAGTATACAAATATAAGTTAACTAGAGTCAGTTGACAATATTGACAATTAAAACACAGTTTAGCATCTCTGTATCGCCTGCCAGTTTTTAGAGCTTCAGCGCACACATGTGCACACACAGAAAATCATGGAAGACTTGATCACTCTTCCATATTTTGGCAAATACATACAATGCAAACAATACAGAGATATGCAGGCTATCAGAGGAGAACAGAACAGGACCAGAGTCCCCTGTATACAAACAGTAGCAGTGTGGTCTGTTTGCTCCATAAGTCTCATTTTCTTTGACCAGAAATCAATGTTAATTCAACAGAAATTATCATTTCAAAATTCTGTGCATGCCATGTCCCCTCTCCATGCAGAAAACAAAAACCCTGCTCTTCTGCTAGAAGTCTGACCTGGCACAGGGCTCCCTTTTGCACAGCAGGAGGCTGCCTGCACAACCTTCAAGTCCGAGACATCAAAGAAGTTCATGGAAATTCACCTATATTCCTGCTCTTCGGGAATGGTTAGACAGCCCAACTCAAATGGATTCTGCCAGCCCTAATGACACATAAAGATTTGCACCTCAACACGGAAAGAACAAGTCGTACCATGGGCCCTTCAGCAGACATGGAACTGTACTGAGCTCTTCATGCATGAACATACAACTTATGATCCATGAGTTATTTGGACTTCTGAACTACATATATGGATCTACATGCTTAGCTGCCTGCTTTAAATAGGGTTCACCTTGACTATCAGGGCTCTCATTCATTCCCTTCTTCTCACTAAGCAGAGTGACAGTGCCACCTCAGGCAGCAGCAAGTGGTGGTGGCAGCGAGGTGTTGGAAGACAGAGCTGCACATACTATGGGGGTCTTCCTGCACCTCCAAAACTAGCTTGTTGTTCTCAGGTGTAAAAGAGGGCACTCTCTCATGCAGCAGACTGAACTACAGTGTAGCCTCCAGGTTGGCCTCTGCAGGCTGAATAGAAGGCATCTTTCTCCCTTCATCTCAGGCAGCAAAAGTTCTTGGGCCAGTCCTGCTTGTTGTGTTTGCATTAGCTTGTTTTAACCAGAATAACATGCCATCAACATATAAATTAGAGCAAAGGAAAATTCCATGTCATTTCTGGAATTGTTTCCCACAAATGCCATGCTTTTAGCAATGCCCCTTCCAGTCTGCCTTGATGACAGAGCTGCTCCTGAGTTAATTCCAAGTACTGGGAAGTGTAAGTCGGATTTTGTTTCCCACCACCTCTTACTTTAGCCACACTTGCTAAATGCAGGGCAAGACTGGCAAGCGCAATGCCACAGAGCTGCCTGAAGACTGCACATTATACACTAAGGCCTATACAATTTAAGCCATTAACAATTGCCTTAAGTGAAGACTCTACATATCTGTTAAGTGTATAGCAGTTATGGGGACCCCGACTAGAGGCTCCTAGGTCCGACTCCTGAAATGCCATTCACAAAATTGCTGGTTCACTGAATGGGGGTCTGCCTCATTTGTGATCAGGTTGAATTGTAATCAGATTGCAAGTAAGCCTGATTTCCAGGCATCTCATTTGGGGAGCAACCCTGAATATCCTGGCTACTTTTTTGTCAAGAACTAGCGCAGAATATGGCACTCAGAATTCTACAACCAGGCAGAATCATATCATACCAATTTCAAAGGAGGCTTTCCCGTTCAAGTTACTGGTGCTTATTTCTGAGGTCCTAAACTGCTTTGGATCCAAATACCTACAGCGTGGTCCTCAAACTACGGCCCGGGCGACGGTTCCTGCCTGCCATGGCCATCCATCTGGCCCATGCCGCTGTTCACCACCCACGCAGACGCATGGTGCATGGGCAGGGGAGGTGGTGGCTCGCTTGCTCAGAGATGGTCTCCGCACGAGCAAGCTGCTGCCCGCCTCCTGTACACGCGCACTCGCCGCTGCCTCTAGCTCGCTCACTCGGAGATGATGTTGGACTCGCTGGGAGATCTCCGAGCGAGAGAGCCACCGCCGCATACACCCAGTGCTGCCTTGTGTGTGCCTGATGGCACCTCACCGGCCCGCGCCCCCAGGCACCCCTACCTCACTGGCCCACGACGGTCACTGCACCCTTTCAACTGGCCCCCTACTCAAAAAATTTGAGGACCCCTGACCTACAGGATTCCCTCTCCCTTAGGCTGCCCACGCTTCTAAGGAACATCAGGGACCATGTGTCTTCAAGTATCCTGCATACATAATGCCCCAACAAGGGGGATAACCTTTTATTTTGTTGCTCCCCAAGTACAGAATGCTCTTTTCTTGGAAGAACAATTGATCCCAACATTGCAATCTTCTCAGTGCCAGCTCAAAACTGTTTGTTTGCCTGGTGTTTGCACTGGTAGATTTGATTGGTTTATGGTATCTGCTGCTTCTTAGTTTTATGTTTTAATCCTTTTCACTGTATTTGTGTGACAATTTTGATTGTACTCTTGTATAATATAAAATCTTATATTAATAGGAATCAGATCAGGGCAACATATAATTTTCAGAAAAAGAGTAACAATGGAGTACTGCTCCCACTTTTTGATTGCATTAATATAAACAACAAAAGCCTTTAATGTAAATTAAAAAGGGCCTACAGAACAACCTGGACATGTGAGTGCAGATGCTACGATATGTATGGTTGTTTTTATGACTAACAGTCCAGTAGTAAGATACAGAAGGTTTTCCTAGAGGTTCAGACCTGAGCACATTTAGTCCAGAATCCCGTTTCCCACAGGTGATCCTGGGAAGACTGTAAACAAGGTCTGAAGGCAATTGGCACAGGAAACATCCTAAGAAAGTCAATGTCATACCATATGATGCATTAACCGTTCTATTGCGCTAGTCCAAAACAAACTAATGGAGAAACACAATTAGAATTTAAGTTACAATTTCCAGATGGGTAAATGCATTCATTTGTTGCAGCACAAACAAAGGAAGGTTTCTAATTTGGTGCCAGTGCGAACACAACAGGATCCTACAGAAAACCCATTGCACAAGTTAGCAATACTGGTGCTTTGCTAGAAATCTCTCGTGCTAGCATAGCATCATTTATGTTGGCACTACTGTCCAACTGGGCAGTGCCCAAAGAATCTTGTCACCCCTTGAAGATCAACAGGCGCATTCTGGCATAAACTTTTGTGAATTATAGCCCACTCCATCAGATGCATGGAGAGTCAACAAGAGTCCCAAGTATATGCATAGCACATATAGCGGAGGTGGAGGACAGAGAATGGCAAGAACTGAAGTCAGAAGGAAATTAAATGTCAAGAGTACCATCAGCGATAATCATATTAGTCACTGCTTATTACACAAATACTGTGGCATTAGCTAAGCCAATTAACACATGCAGTGTGATTGACACGCACCTAACAAACTAGTGAAGAACCAGGGAACCTGCACTAGCTTGTTTCCTCTCTTACCTCGAGCATGGGCCGAGCGCTGTCATGGATTGAAAGGATGTGCGTTATGTTATTCCGTTTCAGTTGTTCTGTGTCACGCGCATCTGTAGCAACAGGAGGTCAGCAAGAAAATCATTAGCCTCGTCATCTGTATCTAACCTCCCTGCCTAAAGCAGGCCTTCGAAGTATCCTCATTCCTTACCCGCTGTGCATGGCTGAGTTACAAGAGGGCTGGGGAGATGGAACAAGCCTCTTGAATGCATCCCAGTCGCCACACAGGATAGCACCACCATTCCAGTGACTGTTAGCCAGGGCTGCAGAATTTAAGGCCCTGGGGCCAAATCCAGCCCCCCAGGGCCCCAGATGGCCTCACTGCTTTTATTTGACCAACACTGATTTGATGTTTCCAGCTTTTGTGCAGTTCTTCTCTCATTCTAAAAGGTCTCAGCTAAGCCTTAACTTAGCCACTACAGTTTTAATATAAAATACACAGTAGTCCCCCAAAATTCATTACGTTCCTAAAGCACCCGTTAATTGTGAAAAACCATGAATTTGGTGCTAGCGGTGGGCACCAGCCACAAAGGTGGTGCGGACGGGAGACGTGGGCCAGGCCGGGCCAGGCTGGGGGGCGGGTGCACGCGTATGGCGAGGCAGGGGCACGCGCGCAGAGATCGTTTTCTCTGAGCAAGTCCAAACTTGGAGGAAACAATCTCCTTGCGAGTAAGCCACCGCACAGTGAGGCACCAGCTCACAAGGAGATCAGCTTGGACTCGCTTGGAGAAAAATCCCGCGAAAGACTGAAGCCACGAATGCTGAACCGCGACTTCAGGAGGGTAAACTGTACTGTGATTTTGGGTATTTTGACCCCACTGTGTCAGCCATGCCCAGCATCAGAAGGCCTGTCCCCAGAGCTTGTCTGAAATGGAATTAGGCCCACAGCCAGGAAGATGTTCAGCTGCCCTGACCTTATTTCAACAATGACAATATATTTAAAAGAAAGCAGGCTTCTCCAATCTGGTGCCCACCATATATTTACACTTCCCGCTTCCGTCATTCCCAGCCAGTGTCATCCTTGGTGGGAGTTAGAAACATAGAAACAGAGCAAGTAAGAAGGGGTCTCCTTGGCCATCTAGTCTGACCCCCGGCTCCAGCCAGCTCCACTCATGACATGCCTACTATGTGCATGTCCAGCCTATCCTTGAACACCCTCACCAATGGTTGCAGCATTTCTGAGTTGCAACCCAACATATCTTGGGGACATCAGGCTGAGGAAGCCTTGCTAGACTGCAGAACCAGGGCTCAAGAAAGCCTGGTTCAAGCCCCCCTCTGCCATGAAGCTCTCCGGGTAACAATAGGTGAGTCTATTCTCCCACCCTAACCTACCTCAGAAACAAACAATGGTTGTTGTATGGGTAAAATATAAAGGAACCATGTTTACTACTTTGAAGTCCTTGGGAGGATGGTGGAAGATAAATGGAAATGAGGAAAAATTGTTCTAGGTTGCTCTTTTTTGTAAAGGCAATAGCACTAGTTGCTTTGTTTATTTGATTTATATCTTGCCTCTTCCCTTTTTTTAAAGAGCGCAGAGCAGCTTACATTAATTCCCCTCCTCCTGCTTTCAGTCATACCCCTGCAACAACAACCCTGTGAGGTAGGTTGGGCTGAGAGTCTGTGACTAGCCCAAAGTCTCCCAGCTGGTTCCGTGGCTGAGTGGGGACTAGCACCCAGATCGCCTGAGTCCCAGGCCTGCACTCTTAACCACTACACAACACTTTATATGACCTCTGGGTTTGCCACCGTAGTGTGCGTGAGCTCAGGTGCCTTTAAAATGGGAGGTGGAGAACTTGTAAGCTAAATGTCTCCAGAGCCAGCAGAGCTAATGGTAAGGGGTGCTGAGAGTTGACAACCAAACTATCCAGGCGCCCAAAAGCTGCCCACCCCTGTTTTTCAAGTTGCCTGAGATGCCAAAATCTGAAAGCTTAGGCTTTCTCTAATTACAGTACTTCTACTGCAGAAAAAAAGCTTCTGAATATATAAAGTAGAGGAAACTATTTTTTTACAAGGGAAACCCCCCCCCCCAGTTTCTTCCACTATAAGCAGAAAAGCAATTCAGTATGGTAAAATATTATCTGCAACTGCATAGTTAATCTGATTTTAATTTGTTTTCTATTAAAAGGTGTGGCTGTTCTTTTTCAAAGGGAAATATGAAATGGGAGAGAATCTAGTTTATGACTAACTTATTACCTTAAAGTCTTCCTCTAGTAGAGCAAAAGGAAACGATAATGTTTGATTCTAAGCAAGGTGGAAAGTTTGGAGTGTTCCCCTAAAATACTTCAGGCTTATATGGAAGACAGGATGATTTCTGAGGGAAATTTTGAAAAATTTCAAGAAGGAAGTGTTGATGGAAAAAGCATTCCTGATCTCTCAGCAAACTCTTGCTTTGTTTCCCCCCACCCCACAAATTTCTTCATCAGAAAAATGATTAAATAAATATATTTTAAATGGACTGTTCCTTCGTTTCAAAATGTATTGCTGAAAGAAACCAAAATGGATCTTAAATCTACTTGGAAAAGTGCAACACTGTCACTAGACTGACTGTTTAGGAAAGAGATACCTCAGTGAAAATGCAAACTCAACGGTCAGTGCATACTTAATAACAAACCATAGTACACTGGATTGGGAATGAGCTTGCATGCTGGGCTCCTCATGGATTTTGTTTGATTACTTCCTGGGTCAAAGCAAACCATAGTTTGTTATTTCCACTGAGCCAGCAGACCAATGTTTGCACTTACCAAACATCCAAACCAGGATTGCAATACAGCTTCAATCTGTGGTTTACAGTCCTTGTTAGGAAGGCAAATATAAACCATAATTTGCTTTTACATCTGAAGCAACTAATTAAGAGGCAAGGAAATGGCTGAAACATAGTGACACAATGCCAACCACACTATAAATTAACCCATCGTGTGGTAGCAGTGAAAAAAAACACATTTAAGAAAATAGTGAGCCTACAGCATAGTTTGAAGATTAGAGTTTGGTGCAGAGCAAACCATTGCAGAAGCATCGGGCCATGGCAGAAAAGGCGCCTGCTTATTTTATTATTTATTTATTTTTCAATTTATATCCTGCCTTTTTCCTACAAAGGGCTCAAGGCAGCTTACATCATTCTCCTCCTCCATCTTATCCCCACAACAACCACCCTGTGAGGTAGGTTGGGCTGAGAGTCTGTGACTGGCCCAAAGTCACCCAGTTGGCTCCATGGCTGAGCGGGGACTCGAACCCAGATCATCTGAGTCCCAGTCCCAGGCTCTTAGCCACTACACCACACTGGCTCCGTACTTATCCTCCCAACTGCCCTCAAAATGAGGGCAAGTGAGAAGGACCTTTGCTGCAGCGCAGGCATGCAGCTATAGGGAAAAGTGGTCCTTCACAGTTTGGTCCTCAAAACTTTAAGGCTTTAAAGCCGAACCTCATAAATATTTTCTATGGAGCACGACATTTGGAACTCTGAAAACTATTCTGGTCACCTCTGCTCAGAAGGGATATCATACAGGCCAGAAGGATACTCGGAAGAACAGCCAAAACAACTAAGGGACCAGTGCACTTTTCCTATCGGGAAAGCGCTCTAAGCCGTTCAGTTATTATTTTCATTTCTATGCCATCCCACATCTGAAGCTCTCTTAGATGAAATATGACTGCAAGATACATGACAGGCAAGTGCTGAAAATGGTGCGGTTCAGTAATGGTGCTGAAAATGTTTCCCTCTCCACTTCTTTGCATAAAATACTTGGATCATTCACATGGATTGTCCCATGAAAGGCCTACAGAAGCAAGACTGAAGGTAACAGGAAAAAGAGCGCACTTTGACTGTTGCCCCAACTTTTGGGATTTGCCTCCCAGAGATGCCTGCACGTTGCTGACTATGATAACTTTGCAGCACCAGAAAAGACTTCTGATCTTTCGATTTTTATGCAACATTCTATCTTGGCATATATACAGAATGTAAAAACCAAATTTTCCTGCTGTGACCACAGCTGCTTTCATGGTGCGCTTTGTACATTTGCCATTTGGATTTTTAATTTTTCAGAAGCTTTGTTAGATGTACTGAGAGGCAGTTGTCTGAAAAAATGGGATGTAATCCCTCTTTATAAATAAGATGGTGGAGGATTTTTTTTTCATTTTTAAAATAGGGACATTCCATTTTAAGGAATTATTGAAGATAGGGTCTTCCTAGGCCCAGGTCCATGGGACTCTGGATCTATCCACCAAGTTTCTGTTGATGCCAGGAAAAGATCTTCTTTCAACCTTAACTGAGGGACAATTTTCCTACAGGGCAAAGGGAAAGAAGTCAGGGCAGCAAGAAACAGAGCCCAGATGGCCTGCGTGGGATGAAAATTAAAGAATTTATTTGAGATGACTTGGATAAGAAGTTAATTGGCTGGCTTTGCCTTCTGTGTAATTAGAATAAACTCCATTAATTATGTCTAAATTTGCATTGATCAGTATAAATTAACATTTGCAAACTGTTATGCAGTTTGTACCCTGTAGGTCTGGATCCCAAGTTATTTAAGTGCCTCAGGGCCAGTCTTTTCTTTTTACTTGGCAGAAGGGACAGGCTTAGAGACAGCTTCTGTTCCATGATCCTGGACCTCATATTTTAGGTATGAGGTACAACCTGTACAGAGGGAAGCTCATGCTGATTTTTGTCAAGTTCACTCTGTTCTTACTGAGAGTAAACAGGTAATAACATGCCCATAACCTTGAAATCTTCTGTATATCTGCACTGAACTATACTCCTGAATTTGTCCACTCTTACTGGTCTACAGTCATGTCATTAGATCGCAGCAACTCTTTCTCATCAATTCTTCATTACTTATTCAGGGAAGGAATTGAACAACTACGCCAGCAGGTGTAACAACCAGCATGAGATTTGCTACTAGCAGGCTCTCCATTTGATTTTCTGTTCTTCAATTATCTATAGGATAAGCTACAGGCTAATCTGAATATCACTGCTCTTTGCAATGTAGCAGAGTTATTGCAAAACCTTTTCCTGGTGCAATTCTTTATTTTTATATGATGTTATGTTTTATATGATTGTGATGTA